GTCAAAAAAATCGGATTTGATGCGCTTTCGCCTGCAGTGTGAACGTAGCCTTAGTGGTATTATAAGAATGTGGAAGCCACTGGGAATGACAGCAGCTCAGTGGTAATCTCACAAATCCACTTCTGGAAGAATGGTCAAAAATTCCCATAAACACACCGAAACCTTTTGGAAAATCTTCCCACAAGAGTTGAAGCCGTTATAGCTGCAAAGGTTAAATGGACATCATATCAAACTCTATGGATTAAAAATGGGATGTCAGTCAAGTTCACATGAGAGTGAAGGCAGACGAGTGAACACTTTTGGTAATATAAAGCGTGTCTGCAGCAGAGGAGCAGTTTATTATGAAGTTAAATAATTTTTTCTTTTTGTTGATGATGAACCTCTGTTTAGGAGAACGTGCGGGCACTCTCCAAAGGAATTCAGTCTGTGATGGGCTACAAAGCAGGCAGTGGACCTGTGGGTCCAGGAAAAGCTGAATCAGAGATGGCAGTGGGCAAACCCTGGAAAAAACACGGCAACAGGAACAAGAAGGAGAAAGTGCGGCGGATTACTAAGCATCTGGATGCCTGATTATGATCAGAAAATCGAAGTTAATTTGACCAACTTAGATCTGTGAACTGTACTTTAGGAAAAACCCTGAAGCACAGTTCATGTGTGATTCCAAGGGAATCAATTCTGAGTGCTTTGTGTAGATGAAGGCCCCCTTTAATCCTGTGAGTGTGGAAAAATCAGGCCGTCGTGACATTAACTAATGAGGTGCATAATCTGTCCGCTCTGGTTTTAACAAAATGGTGCAGTGCGCTCCGTCAGGCTGATCACCAGTTAAAGAGCAACCAATCGATTCAACATGCAAATTTGTATTCAAGGACGACACATAAAGTCTCTATGAATCAGTTAAAATACTGTATGTTGACTTTTATACATTTAAAGCAATGCTCTTTGTAACTTAACCGGGTTACGTAGAATAAACACATGCTTTCATGTTGGTGTGACACTTTTTTGTCATATTTCCATAACAATATATTAATTAATGCTTCAGTGTAAATACAATATTTTGTATTTGTAATAGAAGACTATGAAATAGCAAGTTTTGTAATCTGAATAAGTTAAATTTTGCCAACTCTAAGACCCGAACTCCTTCATGGGATGCATTTTTAATTTCTCCTTGCTCTTTGGGCTGATTGGGACCTGATGAATGTAAAAACAAAGAATGATGTGATTTTGATTTTTATTTTTTTTGTACCCGATTTTTGTTTCTGAGAAAAATGAGATCCACTCATGAGGACATTGGCTTTAAATTTCGATGGAACAGAGGCAGAATAACATCCTCGTAAGTGGATATCAGGCCCTTGTAGAGCAAAATTTGGTATTTTGGTCTGGACAACCCAAAATGTAAAATAGACTGGTTCTTATATAGCGCTTTTCTAGTCTCCTGGAGTACTCAAAGCACTCTATACAACACGCCGCATTAACCCCATACACACCCATTCACACGAGCACTATTATCTATACAGGGAGTGCTTTCTAACTATCATTCATACACATTCATACTCCGATGGATGCATTGGAGAATAAGTAGGGGTTAGTATCTTGCCCAAGGATATTTGTCATGCAAACTGGGGGAGCCAGCTGCCTGAGCTATAACCACCCCTTTAATATATATAATGTGATGTCCACATATGTGGACGCCAGGTCCTAGGAGGTTAAAGAAGTGCATGAGGGTTGTAGGTGTCTAAGCATCTGAGAGCGTTTCTAATTCTTACTGTTTTTGAGTATTTATCAACCAGATAATTGGAGTTGATTTTCTTACCATCACAGAATAGCTACAAGCTACAAAATGTTGTAAACCTGGGAACAAGTGGGAACTCCCATGAGTGTAAAATTAATAATATACAATAAATAATCGCAAACACCCCTGACCTGTGGTGGTGATTTCTGCTGTTTCTGTTTTTTATGTCTAATGTCTTTGCTTATATTGGTAGATAGACTGAAACCAGCCTGATTTATGAAGGGTTTATATATAAAACAAAGACATTAGCTGTTTTTCGAGTATTTTTACGACTCTGTTATTGTAGCTAATCTGTGTTCTAAATTAGAATCGATCCAATCCTTTTTGACCACTTTAAATGTATTGAAAGAACAGCTGTATGTGATATTTGGTGAGATTTCTGCTGAAACTTGGATAAATAAAGGATATATATATAAAAGTCAACGTGCCAAAAACTGATTGCAGCTTCTACATTTGTGACAGGAACGTGCTTTGTGGCTCAAAATCACTTGTTATCATTCATGAGAGATATGGTTGACAGATCATAGCTCAACAACTCATTGACAACAATTTGTAGTCGTTTTTTGGCACGCGGTCACTGTGATCAAGTGTAAGATTCCTGAAATGGACTAAGGTACACGCAATGCTCCTGATCGTAGCTACAAATGAACGCGCCTCTTTAAATAAATGGATGATAATTTATTTGTTGGCATCTCTAAACACAGAAAGAGCGTAAAATCCACACGTTCACTTGTGCCTTTGAACGTATTTCCATATATGACAGGTGGCACAGGTAAGCCACTCCCTGCCGCGTGCGGGCCGTTTGCAGAGCTGCCGCTGTGCTTCTGATGAGCAAGAAGTCAAATGTGCATATTCCACTAGGAGCATGGCTCAGTTTCTGGTCGGTTCTGCGGATTGTCGCTGAGCATTTGCACTTAAAATGAAGAAAAGTGCGCACATCGCGGACGGTCAAGTCGGGGAACGATCAGACTATTTCCTGACTAGTTTGGCTGATTTTTGCGTGGATTCGGTTAACACCTGTTTGTCCCGTGACGCAGACACACTTTGCGTCCCTGTTGGTCTCACCTTTCTTTCTGCGCTGCTTTTGCTGCTATCATGTCTCCTGTAAGTAGATTATCATTAATCACCCACCGGCCCCATTCATTTAATACATATCTAACACTGACCTGTGGTAACTGTGAAGGTTCGTGTATCAGAGGTGCAAAATCCGGGGAGAAAATCCGGGAGAAACCGCGGTTTTCTTCTACTGCTTCATCGGTAACCTGTGCAGTACAACTGGAGCCATCCTGTCCAGGCAGCTGCATATACAGGTAGCACAGTTCTACGTGTAACCAAGTATTTTCACTCTATTTATGCATTAAAACACTAACTCCTTATCGCTGCCCTCTCTGCAGATTTTAATGGGTGCTTTTGCTGCCGCTGTGGATTTTGTGAACTGTATGTTGTGGTGCTTTCCAGTGTTCCTGTGTTGGAATTCGAAAGCAGGTATGATTAAGAAAATTCCATATCTTAATAATGCAAACCTTATCATTCCCAAACAATTTAGCAATTGTGCATTATTCAAAGTGCAGCAGCAAAGGAGCACAGGTGTTTAAATATTGTCATCCAGCCACAGTAGGTCCAATTATCAGAGAGGCGCTACAGATAACCACACAAATGAACAGGGGACCTATTGAAATGCTTTCTAACTGTGACCGTCCTCTCTGGTGTTCTCTCTCAGAAAAAAGGCTGAGGATGATGAAGAGGAGGAGGAGACAGCATCTCCTAGCAGTGTGTGTCTTGATGGTAGTTGCAGGAGGTTTTCTGAAGTCCAGGGTCTCCCATACTTCAGCACTGCAGCCCGTCAAAGGGAGGATGCTGCTGCATGTCGTCCTTCGAGTCTCCAGCTGGAGTTCTTCAATGGTGTGGTTACACAAACAGATACATGTGTATGAGTGTTGTCACCTGGGTTGTTTTGTTGTTTTTGAATTTGCCATTTTGCAGCTGCTCTAAATGTCCTTCTGCTGCATCGTAAAACCGTCTGTCTGTAGGACAACACTGAAATCGTGGGTTACCTACTGGGGCTGCTGTCTTTTGTCATAGCCTGTACCTCCAGGATCCCCAAACTCAGCAGAGTAGTAAGTGACAAACCATTCACTTAAAATCATGTTACTGTTCTAATAAAGTTCCTAGTGTTGTTTGTATTCTTCCTTTCAGTGCAATGGACATAAAGTGACCCACACTGCCATTTTCTCTGGACTGTTGTGCTCACTGGCTGGTGCCCTCTACACTGCAGCCATACTCCTCTGTGGCACTCAGTTTAGATTTCTTATGAGAGCGATGCCATGGCTTCTGTCATCAGCAGGCTGTGTGACTCTAGACCTTCTTGTATCCTTACACAGTAAGTGTGACCACGCATCA